CCACTAAGGGCAGATAAATCAGATAAGATAATGTGATCCACTAAGGGAAGATAAATCAGATAAGATAGTGTGATCTACTAAGGGCAGATAACTCAGATAAGACGATGTGATGCACTAAGGGAAGATAACTCAGATAAGACGATGTGATCCACTAAGGGAAGATAACTCAGATAAGACGATGTGATCCACTAAGGGAAGATAACTCAGATAAGATGATGTGATCCCCTAAGGGAAGATAACTCAGATAAGACAATGTGATCCACTAAGGGAAGATAACTCAGATAAGATGATATGATCCCCTAAGGGAAGATAAATCAGATAAGACAATGTGATCCACTAAGGGAAGATAACTCAGATAAGACAATGTGATCCACTAAGGGAAGATAACTCAGATAAGACAATGTGATCCACTAAGGGCAGATAACTCAGGTAAGACGATGTGATCCACTAAGGGCAGATAACTCAGATAAGACGATGTGATCCACTAAGGGAAGATAACTCAGGTAAGACAATGTGATCCACTAAGGGAAGATAACTCAGATAAGATGATGTGATCCACTAAGGGAAGATAACTCAGGTAAGACAATGTGATCCACTAAGGGAAGATAACTCAGGTAAGACAATGTGATCCACTAAGGGAAGATAACCCAAGGGAGACAGTGCTGATGCTCGAAGAGAAGAACAAACAAAATGCTAGAAGAATTCAGAGGAGGGAGCACATTCTTCTGGACACAGCAGGGGTGTTTTAGGGAACAGGTAGCATCGATCGGGCTGTGAAGAATGGGTTCCTGAGTGCAAGTGACAGGATGGGCAGACACGGTGGAGTATGACTAGATAGCACAGTGGAGCAGGAGCAGGAAATATGATTAGACAGGTGGAGAGGGACTTCAACACCAAGCCAAGAAACCTGCACCCTTATGAATAGAGAAGTGCCTCTCAAATGTTAACATGCACGCCAATCACCCTGGGGTCTTGTTACAGGTTTGTATTTGGAACACTTGTGCTTCTAACCTCTCCAGGGTTGCCAATCCTGGGAGACCATATCTGGAGGGTCAAAAACATAAAAGCAAAGGGAAGTTGCTCAAAGTTTTGTTCAGAGAAACTCTATGATCACCAGTGTGCTCTAGAAAGATGAAATCTGCTCACATAGCATCACGCAGATCAGAAGAAAGAGAAGCTGCAGACAGAGGGGCCTGCCCCTTTGGCCACTCGATGGAATCACCCAAGGAGGCTTTACAGCAGGCATAACCCAAGCCCCAGGTCCAGAGATGCTGATTTTACTGGTCTGGAGTTAGGCCTTGAATTCAGCCTTTGTAAAAAGTTCTCGAAAAGATTCTGATGGAAAGCCAGAATTGAAACCTCTGCTCTGGATGATGTAAGTAAGTATTGTAATACTTCATTAAGGTGAAACATAACAATGATCTCAACAAGGACACTGGGAAGGGGGACATAAGGAAGGGCCCCGCAGCACGAAGTGCTATAAATATAGAAGGAACGGACTTTTGTGACTTCTTGGGCAGGGATTTGGATGTATGCCTATACTACCACTCATTTCTTTGGGTTAAAGACAGCTTGGTGTCCCTGACTCTGGAGCCTGACTGCCTGTATTTGAATGCTGGCTCTTCTGTTTAGTAGGTAGATGTGTGACACTGGGCCTTCGTTTGCTCATCAGTGAATTGGGGATAATATCAGGAACTAACACATGGAGTTGTGATAGGGATTATATGAGTTGGCATGCCTGGCACATAGGTAAAGACTGAACAGTGTGTGGTGATCATCAGCATAGGCCATCATCTATTCCGGTCTTTCCAGGTTGTTGAGCTACATGTAAGATTGATCTGGAAAAAAAGAAATCCTTGAAAAGTCCTAAACTTTCAGCCAATTTGAGATCATTGGGTTATCTGGCTCATGAATCCCTCTGGATCTAGGTGGTCCACCTTGGGTCCTTCCACCCAGCCCTGATCCCGAGACCCTTGAAGAGGAACAGCCACAGAGGACCCTACTTGAACTGCTGGTCTTTGGTGCTGCGTGTCTTGGCCAGGAAGCGCTCGGCCAGCTTCTCTAGGTTGCGAGAGTAGTCCATCTCAATCTCAGCCTTCTTTCGGAAGAAGTCCTGGAGGTCCTGCAACAGCTGCACCCGGAGCTCACATTGCTGGTCCAGGCATTTCATCTGCTCTGTGAGCTGAGCACGAATCTCTGCAGCAAAAACAAGGAAGGGCATTCAGAGAGAGATCCCAAACCTAGCACCACACAGGCCAGCACCCACTTACCTGCCAGTTAGTCCTGCTCGGCCCTCTGGGGAACTCAAAAGTCCTTTTGACTAAAAGCTTAAGTATGCCAAACAATAAGGGGAATGAGAACACTGGTAATGTGTGCACGTCTCTGAATCATCAACCATTTGCCATCAGAAGGAGAGCATGGACCCAAAGACACAAGTTCAGAGGAGTTAGCAAAGGGGGAAGAATGGAGACAGGTAACCCAAGGAGGCAGTGGGCTACGTAACATTACATTGAGGGGATCCCAATGAATGAGACATAACAAAATGTGAATGACTGTTAAATGGAAAATTATGAACTGCTCTGTAAACCTTCACCCATTCCCGATAAAGCAGCAGCCTAAAACCCAAACTGGTCCTATGATGACAGGTACATCCAAAAACTCTATGCACATTTTCATACCCATAAGGACTGTCGTGAATCAGGAGCCTGGTGCATCATTTAGAGAAACTGCTCACTAGGCTCAATTGTCAGAGCTACCATTTATTGGTATGTCACTGGCCTAAATTAATTTTCTCCAAACAGTCAAAGTAGTAGGTGCTACTTTCATTCCTGTTAAAGATGCCGAAACTTGAGTCTTAAAGTAGAGCTACTTAGCGACAGGGCTGGGATTCTAACCTAGCCATTTCAAAGAGGGTTTCAGCATCTTCACCAAGTTGGGTGAAGGTCAGGATATTGTCATCGAGGTAGGGAAGAACCTGCCCAAGGTCGGTAGTGAAATGAGCTCCAAGCCTCTAGACAAACAAGGTAGTCACTGTGATTCTGATTCCATCACTTCCAGTTACATCGTATGGTCAGAAAGTAAACCAACTGTCAAAAGGCAGGTTATGGGGCTGGAGGGCGGTGTTTGCACTGTTGAATGCACAGTTGATGGTCTGAAATGTCAATCCTCCACTCAATTCATTTTTTTTAAGGCTGTCTTGGAAAGATTTTTCACCAGCAATTACCACTCAAATCTCTGTGGCTTCAGCGTCACCATGAGCTTCCCCTGATTCGGCGTTAGAAACCTATCTAGCTGTGTTCTCACCGGTCAGGTTTCTGGCAAGCCAGAGTCCTGAAACAAGAGCTAGAAAACATCTTCCCTCTGGAACTGCAGCCATCGCAGCTCGCTGGGCAACCAGAGCGGCCTCAGAAGCAATACGGCATTTGTTACTGACACGAGACACCAGTCAGACTGGAGTGTCGCAGGCAGCCCTGGCACGTACAGGAAGCAGTTTGCCAAAGCCAGGCTTCTTTACAGCTCAGAGAGGATGGCAGAGGGCACCCTGCAGAAGTGATGTCCCAGCCCCATCGGAGTCAGAATAGAGCCGTTTCTTTCATCCTCATTCGCCTGCAAGCTCGCTCAGTTCCAAGTGTGTTAGGATGGGGCGATGGCTCCCAGCCCGGGGAAAATGAGCACCTCTATTATGCCTTTCCTTATGCAGGCTCCAAATTCATCCCCGATGGTACAGCTGTAGTGACACGTCCTGTTCTCCATTACACAATGAATGGAGGGGCTTCATCGAAGATGGGCTCAATTAGAAGCAACTCCAGAGTGGGGCTACGGGGTTCAAAGGTTGGCCAACCACTCCTTCTACAAAGCCAAGGTGTGTCGATGATGGCTTTAACTTGACCTTGGAGTAACTGGGGGTTCATAATGTAGCCCCATCTGTGTTTGTGTTCCTGTTACCCGAGGCTTCAATCTGTAGCACAAATGTCTGATCCTCGGTGAGTGATCTTAAAACACCAAACACAGTGCCATCGCACCCATTTTGACTCAGAGCGCCCCTACAGGGACAGACTAGAACTGCCCTGTGGCTTTCTGAGACTGCCAGTTTTTACAGGGGTGATATGCCTCACCAGGGCTCCTTACTGACCTGCAAATGCAGTTCCCACCTTCTTCATCCCCACACCTCCCCCTTGCCAAGCACAGCGCCAACCAGCCCGCAGTAACCTCACCTGAACTGAAACTGAGCACCGCTGGGTCGCTGAGAGCAAACAGGAGGCTGCACACAAAAAGCCGCCTACCTCATCACTCAGTAAAGCTCTCTTGTTCTGCGCTTTTCAGAGTCCGATTACAAGAGTCTTGGGGGTGGGGGCGGCACAGATCCTCAGAGATCACATCAGGCGTCTGGTTCTTGCCAGGTCTTTCTGGGTCTCTTAAAGGCATCCACCCTGGATGAGACTGTTCCTAGTGGCATCTGCCCCACTACCCTCACTCCTTTATTACTGAAAGGCTGGCAGTAGATGTCATTGGGTGGGCAGACTGAGCCAAGAGGCCAGTCAGATGCTCAGAACTCGTCCACTACGGAAGAACAGGGCCTCTGCAGGCAGGCAGGGTCTCTTATGTCTCCATGGATGACAGACGTGCAAGGGCATGTGGATGGCAGTGGGGTCACCTCAGACTCAGCCTCAATGATCGCGCCACCAGGGAAACACAGCTCAACGAGGCTCACTGGGTGAAACCCACCCACTTTACCCCTTGGGTTAAAAAAAAGTCTAGGCAAATTCCCAGGATGCCTGAAGTTCGAGAGCTGCGCCACTCTAGGGCTGTCCTGATAAAGGAACAAGTACTTCATGGGAAGCCTCTGGGTCTGGAACCTTGTGGAAGAAACCCCCAAGCATGTCCAGCCAGCATGCTCCAGCTTCTGCTCCGACTTTCCGAGCTGCCACGATGAGTGGGGCCGCCAGCACTGGCATCTCCCAACCACAGGCCACTGAAGGAAAGGGAGCGAGTGTCTACCCAATGCCTCCCATCGCCTTTGCCATACATCATCTTACTGAATTAACAAATACTCTACACGGTCTCCAAGGATCCTGCTAGCACTGATAAGAAAGCTGAAGGAAGGCAGGTGATTTGCCAAAAGGTTGTACCACAAGGCAAGTGTAGAGTTGAATGAAGCTGAAGTATAGTTTGCTTGGGAGCCCTGGTGGTGTAGTGATTACAGGTTGGGCTGTGAGCCACATGTTCAGCAGTTCAAAACCACCAGCAGCTTCAAGGGAGAAAGACTGGGCTTTCTACTCCTGTAAGCCGTTACAGTCTCGGGAACCCACAGGGGGGTGTCTATGAGTCAGCACTGACTCGATGGCAGTGGTTTGCAGTTGGGCATCTCAAAGGGGTTGATGGCAGTGGGAGGAAAGGACTGCCCTTTGGAGGTGCTGGCAGCATTTCTGGGTATTTCACGGTGACTAAGGCTCCCACCACTGGAACAGCCCTTCACCTTACAGCTGGGGGATGATTCAGCCCCTCAGTCAAGTTCCGACTGGCCAGGCGAGCCCGTTTCAACTATTCCATAGCCCAGCTGGGTCCCTTCGGTGCTTCCTCGATCTACTCTACCAGACAGCTCAGGAGGAAGTTCCTGTCTTACCCTATGAGCACATCCTGAGGCTGCCAGAGGGCGGGGAAACTAAGAAAGCAGTAGCCCCACACCCTGATCCAGGAAAAGTCTCCACTAATCGAGACCACCTGCCACTGCCGTTTGCTTGTGCTATGATGCCACTGGGCATCCTCTCAAGCCCCATCTCGCCTTGAAGGCCAGCCTCCCTTTCTACCACCCTCAGAGCATCCACGTGGACATTTAAGAGAGATTCTATCTAGCCACCCCCTTCACCCCCGGGCCTGCAACTCTAAGTCTGACCCGCTGCCCTGGCCGGAGGAACATGTGCTGCCTCAGGCTGCCACTGATGCAAAGACAAACAATGGTTCCCAAGAAGACGGCTGTGCCAGCCCCAGTCCTCTGTCCATGCACATAAGGGGCAGGAACAATAGACCACTGAATGACAGCATGGCCTGGGCCATGTGCCCAGCCTGCAAGCCCTCCGCACCCTGGCCTACCAACAAACCACAAGGGCAGAAAGGGCTGGATTATGAAAACGCAGAGGAATTCCTCACAGTTCCCTCGTGTGTTTAGGGGAGCATGCACGTGCACGCTCCCGGGCACACACAGCTCACAGAAAACACCCCTGTCCACATGGTGGTTCCCCAGACCAGTGAGACAGTTTTGCAGGTCCAGCTCCTGAGAGCTATGGGAATGATGGGGGCCCATAGGTTCAGTCTCGAGAATCCATGAGAAGTCAAGTTCACGCCCAGAAGCCACTGCATCTCTAAGGTATGACAGCATTAGTTGCCATCCACAAAGTTAAAGTACTAAGGTCACCATCCGGGGCAGATTACCCAATAAGCAAGGTAAGCGCGGGCTTACTTACCTGTGGGAGAAACACGTGGAACCGTGCACTACATAAATAAGCACAGGCAAGCCTAGTTCTGTAGGAAGATGCTCTGAGTTTAGGAGGACAGCTGCCAGCCATACCTAGAAGTAGAATCTCAGATTCTGTGAAATACATGAAGTTGTTCACTAACAATGAGTTAAATAAGCACTGGTCAGCCTGTGCTCACCTTGCTCAGGGGGTAATCTGACACTGGCCATCATGAATTTTCTGGAGTGGCACATACCCCATATACTGTAACCTCCCCGGGAACCGGGGAACCAGACACACCCATCAAACCAGCAACTCGTCACGGAGCCTCTAGTGCATGGCAGGCTCGGTACTAGGGGACAGGGGTGAGGTTTGGCTTCATAGGAAAGGAGGAGGCTGGAGAGCAAAGAACACTTTGCTTTGAATGTCTTATGAAAAAGCCATGGTAACAATTAGCCCCCAAACGGAAGATTCAAAAATCACCGACAGCAGACAACGCCATCCTGTCCGCTAAGGGGGAAATGGACCAACAGACTAAGCACCAAAACAAGGAAGACCTTTAAGTCTTCCCACCCCCACCCCCACCCTTCTCTGCTTGCACAGGCTGCATCTCAGCTCTGCGACGGATATTCCTAAAGCAAACTTTGGAAGCAAACCCTCTGGACAGCAGGCTTGGCTGTGACACTGAACTCCACTGGCCAATCACCATTCCATTCTTTCCGAAGGGTGTCAGATCAAAACTTG